GGGCGCCCAAAAACAACATGGAGACGAACGATGGAAAGTGACCTGAGTGCGGCATCTTTGACATGGAAAACTGCATTGAAGATTTCACAGGACAGGAAAGCACGGAAAGTCCTCTCTGAAGCCTCATGTGCCACTAGGCATAACGAGAAATGATGATGATGATGCACTCTGGGTTGGGCAGAAAAAGTCGAAGTAGGCATTCAGGCAAGCATCCCATTGATGAGTTAGGTAGTGAATGTCGTCTGCAGACAAGAGTACGGCTGCTCACTGAATCGCCAGTTTCTGGTTTTGGTGGTCGGTCAACAAACGTGGCCCTTACTGTGAATATACCTTCCAGGAGTGTGGCTTCTTACGAAACACCTTTTGAACCGCCTCAATGTGTTCTTCGACAACGTTTCGCCTGTACTGCTGCATCCATTTTGGGGATGAGTTTTTTTCCCCCCAACAATACGCGCTTGACCAGGGCGGGTATGATCTGGAGTCAACTTACGTCTTTTCCGAAACATTCATACCCGGTCTGTCACTGTTGTCTTCGACACATTTAATATATTTGCCATATCTCAGTTGAAGGAATAACACTTAACTACATCAATCAATTCAAATATCTTGGAACAATCATATCATCAGATGGAAAATGTGTCACAGAGATTAAAAGCAGAATAGGTCAAGCGAAAGCTGCATTTCAGAAAATGAAAAATATGCAGTAAATCGCTCTCATTTAATGTCAGAAAGAGAGTGCTAAAAATGTTACATAGAACCTGTTCTGCTGGTATGGCGGCGAATCCTGGAATTAGAAAGAATTTGGAAGCAACAGAGATGTAGTTTTTGAGACGAATGTTACGAATACATAGGACGGCCAGAGTAACTAACAACAATTGCTTGAAAGAAGCTAAGGAAAGTAGATCTCTATATACAACAATAAGAAAGAGACAAACACTGTTCTTTGGCCACATAATGAGCAGAGAGACATTGGAGAACATCGTGACAACTGGAAAGATCAGTGGGAAAAGGGGTAGAGGCAGACCAAGAGAGACGATGCTGGATACGTTAAAACGATGGCATAAAGGGATTTCATCAAGAGAGCCTTTCCAGACAACCAGGGATCGTGATCTGTGGAGACGCATGAGCGCCTATGCCAGTTGGTAGGGCACATGATGATGATATGTGTGTTTGTGTGTGTGCTTCCAATATTGACGGTCTATATAGTGAAGAGAAACAAGGATTTTCAACCGGAGGTTACAACCTGTAAACAAGAAGAAGATGAAGAAAAAGAAGAAGAAGAAGAAGGAGAAGAAAAAGAAGAAGAAGAAAGAGAAGAAGACGAAAAAGAAGAAGAAGAAGGAGAAGAAAAAGAAGGAGAAGAAGAAGAGAAGAAGAAGTAGAAAAGAAGAAGAAGAAGAAGAAGAAGAAGAAGAAGAAGAAGAAGAAGAAGAAGAAGAAGAAGAAGAAGAAGAAGAAGAAGAAGAAGAAGAAGAAGAAGAAGAAGAAGAAGAAGAAGAAGAAGAAGAAAAGAAGAAGAAGAAGAAGAAGAAGAAGAAGAAGAAGAAGAAGAAGAAGAAGAAGAAGAAGAAGAAGAAGAAGAAGAAGAAGAAAAAGAAGAAAAAAGAAGAAGTAGAAGAAGAAGAAGAAGTCAGACAGACAGACAGATATAAAGACCAACAGAGGATGTCAAAGAGCTTGGCATTAAAACAATAGTACCGAGAAACTCGTTCAACCACCTGTAGAACAATATCATCGCAATTCCTAAACAAAAACAAAAATGTGGACATGAACAATCAGTTTAATTATTGAAGCACCATGAGCAACAACGACCATCATCATCATAAACATCATCATCGTCAACTCAGCATATAGTAGTTTCCTTCCAGAAAGCTGCTCCCATTACTGCAAACCTTTTGCCAGTTTCCCAGTCTGATATATTGCCATGTCCAACATGGCCCCTTTATCCCAAGTCCATCGTCGTGGTCTACCCTTGACTCTTCTTCCCACGGAGGTATGAAATTATTGTTAAAAAATAATGTAAAAGATTTTTTTTTAAAGTAGACATACAATTAAAAGCAGCAACATAACGTAGAACTCTAAATTATTTGTTTTAAAAGCAAGTTATTTATTTAAATTAAATAGTTATTTCAATTTAGAACAAAAGTAAAATGCATTTGAAAACAAATGACTGAGAAAATTGACGACAACTAAATAAGACGAGCATAAGAATGTCGAAGAAATCAGAGAAATGTCCGGATGCCCGGTAGTAATAACAGTTATACAAGAAACAAACGATGACGATATTTGTAGCACATCTTGAGCAGAAGCAGACAAAACAGACGCTAAAAAGAGACACAAATGGATGAAGTGAGCCATATAACCCTATAACGAACAATCACAAGAGAGGCCACAAAATACCGGACAGGATACCATATAGGATATCGAAAGTATTGAACAGGACAGGGCAGCGTGGAGGAAATGACAACGAGGCAAGCTTACTAATCAGGTTGGCGTAAATTCTAGAGGACACCTCATTTTGTGTATCTGCTTATTTCCTTATAGTGCCCAGGAGATACACCCAGCCAAACACTTCATAGACAGCAACCTTGAAATCATGTATGTGTTAAGGGAGGACACTCGCGCGACCCTAAGCTTTTCAAGTCTGACAGGCCATTGTCAGACTCTGCCAGTACCTTGACCACATAAAAGGACTGTGTGACCGTCAATGTCACGTGGTCTCCACATACCATGGGCAGCGAGCCCAGTAACCAACCGTGTTTATTGTGATGATGCTGTTGATGATGAGGTATTTCAAGTCCCCGTGTATGGATGTCATTATAATTATGCCCCTCTACATGGGAGCCGCCGTGGTCTAGCGGCTAGACGCTCGCCTGCCGATAGGAAGGTCCAAGGTTCGGGTCCTGATGGGGCCGGACTATTTTATAAAATGACCTTGACCCCCAGGTCGACCCAGCCTTGAGTGGGAACCAGGTAAAGCCTTAGCCCTATATACCCAATACACCTGGAGGCCCGGAAATGGTCGTCTACTGACTTTTACTACACACACTGAATAAACCGAGTCATAGATAGTACACTACAGATGGTACACTACAGATAGTACACTACAGATGGTACACTACAGATAGTACACTACAGATGGTACACTACAGATGGTACATTACAGATAGTACACTACAGATGGTACACTACAGATAGTACACTACAGATGGTACACTACAGATAGTACACTACAGATGGTACACTACAGATAGTACACTACAGATGGTACACTACAGATGGTACACTACAGATAGTACACTACAGATGGTACACTACAGATGGTACACTACAGATGGTACACTACAGATGGTACACTACAGATGGTACATTACAGATAGTACACTACAGATGGTACACTACAGATGGTACACTACAGATGGTACACTACAGATGGTACAATACAGATGGTACAATACAGATAGTACACTACAGATAGTACACTGCAGATAGTACACTACAGATAGTACACTACAGATGGTACACTACAGATAGTACACTACAGATAGTACACTACAGATAGTACATTACAGATGGTACACTACAGATGGTACATTACAGATAGTACACTACAGATAGTACACTACAGATAGTACACTACAGATGGTACACTACAGATAGTACACTACAGATAGTACACTACAGATGGTACACTACAGATAGTACACTACAGATGGTACACTACAGATAGTACACTACAGATGGTACACTACAGATAGTACACTACAGATGGTACATTACAGATGGTACATTACAGATGGTACACTACAGACGGTACACTACAGATGGTACATTACAGATGGTACATTACAGATAGTACACTACAGATGGTACACTACAGATGGTACATTACAGATGGTACATTACAGATGGTACATTACAGATGGTACATTACAGATAGTACACTACAGATAGTACATTACAGATGGTACACTACAGATGGTACATTACAGATGGTACATTACAGATGGTACACTACAGACGGTACAATACAGATAGTACACTACAGATAGTACACTACAGATGGTACAATACAGATAGTACACTACAGATAGTACACTACAGATGGTACAATACAGATAGTACACTACAGATAGTACACTACAGATAGTACACTACAGATGGTACACTACAGATAGTACATTACAGATAGTACACTACAGATGGTACACTACAGATGGTACATTACAGATGGTATACTACAGATGGTACATTACAGATGGTACATTACAGATGGTACACTACAGATAGTACATTACAGATAGTACATTACAGATAGTACACTACAGATGGTACACTACAGATAGTACACTACAGATGGTACACTACAGATGGTACAATACAGATGGTACATTACAGATAGTACATTACAGATGGTACATTACAGATAGTACATTACAGATAGTACATTACAGATAGTACACTACAGATAGTACACTACAGATGGTACACTACAGATGGTACACTACAGATGGTACACTACAGATGGTACAATACAGATGGTAAACTACAGATGGTACAATACAGATAGTACACTACAGATAGTACACTACAGATAGTACACTACAGATAGTACACTACAGATAGTACACTACAGATGGTACACTACAGATGGTACATTACAGATGGTACATTACAGATGGTATACTACAGATGGTACACTACAGATGGTACACTACAGATAGTACATTACAGACAGTACACTACAGATGGTACACTACAGATGGTACACTACAGATGGTACAATACAGATGGTACACTACAGATAGTACACTACAGATGGTACAATACAGATGGTACACTACAGATGGTACAATACAGATAGTATACTACATATAGTACACTACAGATGGTACACTACAGATGGTACACTACAGATGGTACAATACAGATGGTACACTACAGATGGTACAATACAGATAGTACACTACAGATAGTACACTACAGATAGTACACTACAGATAGTACATTACAGATGGTACACTACAGATGGTACAATACAGATGGTACATTACAGATAGTACATTACAGATGGTACACTACAGATAGTACACTACAGATAGTACACTACAGATGGTACACTACAAATAGTACACTACAGATAGTACACTACAGATGGTACACTACAGATGGTACACTACAGATGGTACACTACAGATGGTACACTACAGATAGTACATTACAGATAGTACACTACAGATAGTACACTACAGATAGTACACTACAGATGGTACACTACAGATGGTACATTACAGATGGTACATTACAGATGGTACACTACAGATGGTACACTACAGATAGTACATTACAGACAGTACACTACAGATGGTACACTACAGATGGTACACTACAGATGGTACAATACAGATGGTACACTACAGATAGTACACTACAGATGGTACAATACAGATGGTACACTACAGATGGTACAATACAGATAGTATACTACATATAGTACACTACAGATGGTACACTACAGATGGTACACTACAGATGGTACAATACAGATGGTACACTACAGATGGTACAATACAGATAGTACACTACAGATAGTACACTACAGATAGTACACTACAGATAGTACACTACAGATAGTACATTACAGATGGTACACTACAGATGGTACAATACAGATGGTACATTACAGATAGTACATTACAGATGGTACACTACAGATAGTACACTACAGATGGTACACTACAGATGGTACACTACAAATAGTACACTACAGATAGTACACTACAGATGGTACACTACAGATGGTACACTACAGATGGTACACTACAGATGGTACACTACAGATAGTACAATACAGATAGTACACTACAGATAGTACATTACAGATAGTACATTACAGATAGTACATTACAGATAGTATACTACAGAACGTACAATACAGATAGTACACTACAGATAGTACAACGTCTTGTTTAATGTTTCCAAAAGTTCCAACTTGGTAATAAAGATGTCTTGAAAGAAAGTGACTCACGATGAGAACTGATTGCTCACATCAGAAGGAGACAATCTCAATTCTTTGGTCATGTCATGAGAAGGAGAGAATTGGTGAGCATCGTGACAGTAGGAAAGTTGGAAGAGAAAAAAGGCAGAAAGAGACACAAAAAGAAGAAGCCGGACAGTTGGACGTCTTGGCGTGGAAGGTCAATTGTGTCAGAGTTGATTGACAGTATCTGATAAGATTGAAGATTGTGGCTAGACATGACTACCAACGCACATAGGGCACAGGCTTTTAAGAAGAAAAATACCCAGAAAGCATGCTGAGGAAGATCAGGATAGGCAAGCTTCGTGCAGAGTGGCATGCTTCGCTGCAGAGGACACGTGTGAGGAGTATTGTCTGGATTTTTTCACCGGGGCACGCTGGTGTGGTGGGAAATGAACAAGCGGACAGACTGGCTGGCTGGCACAACTTGGTGGAATACTGATACATGATAAGGCAGACGTGTTTAGTGCCTTGTGGGAGAGCGTGTACAGTTCGGAGGAGCAGATGGATTACCACAGTCTGGTGAGATTAATGCAGCGGGTAGTGACGAGAGGTTCTGGCAGATGCTCGAGGCTCAGAGGAAAGGCAAGACGGACGTTTAATCAGAAAGCTACTGGCATCATTAGTATCGTAACTCTACACTGGATGCTGAAGATGGGGACGGAGAGCTTATGGAAATGCCCCGAGTGCTGTCATGTCGGTTTATGAATTAAATCAAATCAAATCAAGAAGAAGTATTAAAATGACAGATAATTAAAGGGACATTTGCTAGAAATACAAGTGAATATGGGCCACGACTGGAGAAGGCAGCAAGTCCTTCTAGGCTTGAGACATGACATAGTTTTGAGAAGGAACGAGTAGGTACAAGGCTTACCTGTATAGTTAAACCCACGTAGCATTCACGAAGAATGCTCAATACCAACAGTGCGATACAACACACTGATAACTGCGCATTGAGACTTCTGCTCAGGAAGAAGGATCGTTTATTGCAGTATCCCAAAGTACCTTTTCGTCTCTTAGCGGCCATAAAACTATTCAGTGATATATTAGTTTGGCCACAGTGCTATAATCTTTTTTTTTTTTTTTTTTAGCATTTAAGATTAATTAAATATTTCAACACACTGGCAAAACCATCTGCTGGGGAAGAAGTACCGTCTATTTGTTTGACCCGATGGCTATCATGTTCATTTTGTATTCGCCATATAATCAACCATTTCAGTATACGGGGTCATGATGCCACATGAATTTAAAGCGTCACTTATTTTCTCCATGGTGTTTTGTGTTTACATCTACAATCTACAAGCCATTCTTTGTCTTCATCCTTACAAAGAAATTTTGTTTGATTTTCTGGATCACAGCTATTATGTTGTCCTAAGTTGTTTGCCTTTAAATCATTAGTGACCAGATTTTTGCACTCTTCATTTAAAAGAGTCAAATTGATTCTGTTTTTGAATTTGGACAGGCTGCTTTCAGACTTTGTGACGGCGTTTCTCTTGAGGTAGTATTTCCTTTCACCTGAAACAATGGCGGCATGGTCAGGCAGGAATTGTTTAGAAAGTTGCTGGGGAGAGGCTGTTTGATTTAAATGGTGAACAATAGGAAAACGATAGGACGGGTGTAGCTATGTGTTGATATGTCGTCAGCAAACGGGAAATTGAGTAGTAGTGATAGCGATGTTAGCAGTAGCAGTAGTAGTATTAGCAGTAATGGTAGTAACAGCTGCAGCAGCAGTAATTGTGTTAGTAATAGGGTTAATGCTGCAGAAGTAGGAGTCGTAGTAGTTGTAGTAGTAGTAATGTGGTGGTAGTGCTGATAATGGCGGTAGTGGTGGTAGTGATAGTAGTTGTGATATATTAGTAGTAGCAGTAGTGGTCAACAGTAGTGCCAGTACTACTAATGATGTTAGTAGTATTGGTAGCAGCAGTAGTAGTTGTAGTAGTATTATGACGATAGCGGTTTTGGTAGTAGTAGTTTTAGCAGTAGCAGTGGTAACTGTAGTAGTATTAGTAGCAATAGTTGTAGTGGTTGAAGCGATCCTTGTAATGGTAGTAATAATTGCTGTTCTAGTAGAAATAGTAGTAGTAGTAGTAGTAGTAGTAGTAGTAGTAGTAGTAGTAGTAGTAGTAGTAGTAGTAGTAGTAGTAGTAGTAGTAGTTGTTGTTGTTGTTGTTGTTGTTGTTGTGGTATAATCACTATTAATAATAACAACACTAGCTTTGCCATAAATGGCAAAACAGCATTCATAAACAAAAATGGCAATTATATTTATATTTTCTAATTGAAACAAACAGCAATTTTAACAAAATAGCTTTTTTTAAAAATGTATCTGTGCACTAACAGGACCACAAACTTCGGAAACGTGTACCTTAATGCCGAGAGAGTCTGTCGAGTTTTGGGACTTTAGGAAAGTACTGAGTATATATACGCTAAGATTATAGTATCTCAGTCTGAATGGCAGGCTATTAGGTAGTTACAATTCTGGCATCCATACCCGCTACACTAACAGTTAGTTGCGTATCCTTGACATGACAGTGCAGAACCAATCCTAGCATTTCTTTGCTGTTGTGGCCATTTCTTAACGTCCAGGAGTTTTCGGTACGCTGTCGAAATCACGCAAGACAAACATCCGCAGCTGGGATCGAACCCAGCACCCCAGCATTAGGAAGCGTGATCTCAAAGCCTAAGCCACAGTTGCCGACACCGGCTGCACTAGCTAGGTGTAAAATATTACCCAATAACATGTGCCTAAAAAGCTCAACGAAAGAGGGAAGGAGAACAGCGTCCACAAAAGAGTCTCATTGACGTTTCCGCCCGAATCTCTTCTAGATGAAGTGCCAGGTGTAAGAGACAATGGTAGTGGGTAAGGTCTACGCGCGCGTCATTTGTCCCAGCCGGGCTGCTACCTCACGAATGTGACACCCTGAGATCACAGACCAACAGGACCTGAAGGCTTGACGCTGACAGAATCAAAGTCTCACTGATGATAACAGACCAACAGAATCTAAAAGTTCGAGACCGACAGAATCCAAAGGTCTTAGTGCTGGTGACATACAACAGGACCTGAAGGTTCGACATCGACAGAATCAAAAAGTCTCAGTGCTGATGACAGACAGACGAAGAGGTCGGTCTGAAATACGAAGTTCAACTTTAAAACATTATGTAAATTAACATCTCGAAGATGCCAATCAAACAGGTACACATCTCGGAAACCCGTTAACCCGTACAGCACAGCTTTACTGTGGCACCACAAAACGGTAACCAAGTGACCCGTGGTCCAGTGTAGCTGGCAACACAGAAGGTCAGATCGATGATAGATGTAACAGAGCAAACCACTCATTTGGGCACATGGCACCAATCCTAAGGAACAAACATGGGTCAGTAGAAAACACAGGAGCACTCTATGACACAATCTTCTTGCCAACCCTGTGCTATAAATCCCAGACTTGGACAATGAGAGAGAAAAAGAACATAACAATAAAAACAACTAAAATGAGATTCCAACAAAGGGCTTTCAGTATAACAATAACAAATGAGATCAGCAATGATGGAATCCGAAGGGGAATGGCCGTAACGACAGCGCCAGCTCTGGATGCTATTAGAAGTCAACAAGTGAAATTATTTGGCCATATAACGGGCACATCAAGTAACAGTATACCACAGCAAGTAACAGTATACCGCAGCAAGCAACAGTATACCACAGCAAGTAACAGTATACCACAGCAAGTAACAGTATACCACAGCAAGCAACAGTATACCACAGCAAGTAACCGTATACCACATCAAGTTACCGTATACCACAGCAAGTAACAGTATCCCACAGCAAGTAACAGTATACCACATCAAGCAACAGTATACCACAGCAAGTAACAGTATACCACATCAAGCAAAGTATACCACAGCAAGCAACCGTATACCACATCAAGTTACCGTATACCACAGCAAGTAACAGTATACCACAGCAAGTAACAGTATACCACATCAAGTAACAGTATACCACAGCAAGTAACAGTATACCACATCAAGCAACAGTATACCACAGCAAGCAACAGTATACCACAGCAAGTAAATGTTTACCACAGCAAGTAACAGTATACCACATCAAGTTACCGTATACCACAGCAAGTAACAGTATCCCACAGCAAGTAACAGTATCCCACAGCAAGTAACAGTATCCCACAGCAAGTAACAGTATCCCACAGCAAGTA